CAGTGACTGCCCAGCCCCTCCCTGAGCCCTGGTGCTGGAGCTCAGCTCACACCACAGACTGAGGAGTATGGAGGTTGGCTTCACCCCTTGGGATATCCCTGGGAGGAAGCACCTGCTGAGACAACACAAAGGTCCCTGCTCAGGGGACTCTGCCAGGCCAGAGAAGACACAGCTGCTGAGTTCCCATCAGTAGGACAGGGCCCAGACTGCGGGCCCAGGCTGCTTTGAGTGAATGGAGCAGCTGTGTAGGGACCACAGGGCAGTGCCACACCGCCCCCTGCTGGTATCATGAAGAAAATATGAAAAATGAAAAAAAATTCAGAGAGAACCTCTATTAAAAATTTGATAAAATGCGTAGTTTCCTAGGAAAGTACGATTTGATTGCATCAATCAGAGATAAATCGAGTAAAGAGACCAACTTCCTTACAAATAGTAGAAATTGTTATTATAGAAGTACTCCACAGAATGACATAACATACAGATAGTTTCACAGGGAACATCTAACAAAATTTCAGAGATCAGGTAGTTCCAATTTATTTGTTTCTTATTTTTTATAATATTTAAATACATGAAAATTTCATAGTTCTTTTAGAAAGGAGTTTTAACAGTGATTAGAAAAACTGATAAATTGCACAAAAAGGAAAAATAGAGACCAATAGCATTAAATATTGATACAAATGTTCTAAATAAAATATTAACAAAGGTTTTCCAATACCACTTTAATATATTGAAACACCATTGCCAAGTGTGATTTCTCCCGATGATACAAGTTAGGTTCCACATTAAGAAGTATCTTAATATAATATACCATATTAACACATCAATAGATAAAATCATATCATCTCAATCCATCCTGACAGAACCTGTGATCAAATTTAACACAAATTCCTAATACAAGCCTCATAAAAATTTTAAAAGACAGATACATTTGTAATATGGTATTACCCCCTCTTTCTCACACACACACATAAATTAGTCCTAAAGCTAGCATCTTAGTTAATGGAGTTGTGTAGTGGTTATTTCCACAAAGATCATGAACAGAAAAAGGTGACCCTTACCTCCATCATTATTCAACTTTGTTCTACAAGTAATAGAAACTGCAATTAAAGAGGTGATATCAATGGTTAGGACTTGGCATTGATGGGAACAGACAGGTAGACATTCTTAAAGATCCAGTTGAATGGTTTGGCCTTAGATACTCCACTGTTGGTGCAGAAGTGACAGCAGAGAACTCCCCGATGAGTGTTCAGTCACTAACTGTGACTAGTACTGGTAACAGATAGTGACAAAGGAGTGATGAGTAGAACAAGAAGAGCAGAGGGGAGGTCTTGGCCCACCTGCCCATTTTAGACTCTGAGGCCGTAGCCCAGGTCTGAGGTAACATCTCCTCCCACTCAGGCTGCATCCTAAGTAATGTCAATCACCATATTTGTGTGTGTGTGTGAGGAAGATTGGCCCTGAGCTAACATCTGCCAATCCTCCTCTTTTTGCTGAGGGAGACCGGCCCTGGGCTAATATCCGTGCCCATCTTCCTCTACTGTATATGGGACGCCGCCACAGCATGGCCCGACAAGCGGTGTGTCGGTGCGCGCCCGGGATCTGAACCGGAGAACCCCGGGCTGCCGCAGCGGAGCACGCACACTTAACCGCTCGCACCACCGGGCCGGGCCTTCAATCATCATATTTATGGGGCTTCTGTCTGGAAGCCAGAATAAACCATATGACAGAGGCTTCCAGTACAGAGAGTGGTGACCTTCTGCCCAAGTGACCACTACACTGTGACAGAGAATTGTGAGATTGGTGTCACAGCCCCTGTTCCTTGTGGAAATGAGGAGAAGGCAGGTCCTGTGTTCCCAGGGGCTCCCTTCCCTAAAATCTGGCAAAGGATTCCTGTATAAGGGACTGAAAGAGAAAGACACCATGGGGTCCTGGAGACACCACAGAGCTCTGTCTCCTGAGGTTCCACTGTGGTGATTGTGCCAACAATCTGTGTCTTACCCTCTGTGCTGCTTCTCCAGGAGCTCACTTCCTCCTTGGAAATGCATTCTGGTTTCTCATTGTCTGTCAGCTCTAATCAACATCATTTGGCCAAAGACTCCATAGAGAAAAAGGAGATGACCCAAATTTGAAGGAATGTGGTCAGACAGCAATATCCAATAGCTTATAGGATGATGGGGGCCACACAAGTGAAGAAAAGTCATATATCAATGACGACAGTTTGCCCAACTCCCCAGGAGGCCACTGAGGGGTTTACCAGCTGTCTCGTCAACACCCCCTCTGAGGACGCTACGTTGCTCCCCGTGCTGGCCACAGCACCCACATCCTCCACCACTGTGATATCCCTAAGCACACCTTGCAGAATGCTGTCTTATACAGTAGTCTTTGCTGATGTTACTCACAAGAGAGTGGAAAGAGAAAGGCCTTTCTAGGTCCACCATGGTGATAGAGATGCTCTCACATTTGGACTTTTATCTCAATGGAAAACTATCATTATTTTCAACCTGTCAATCTGCATCCACAGATTGGACAGAGCTCTGACCTTTCCTGCTGTAGCAGACACTGTACGTGGTGTGTGAGAAGACAGTGAGCAGGTGCAATAGGAACACACCATTGGTGACATTGCCCTGTGTGCATGCTGGGGTGTGCATGGAGGGGTTGGGCCAAGGAACCCGAACAAGGCTGTGATATATAGGTCGGGATCTTAGGGAAGGTCAAGTGGTCTCCGTGGCAGATATGAGGAAGAGCCCTTGAGTCAGAGGTCAGGGTATGGGCCAAACTGAGAAAAAGAAGAGAGGCCGGTTGCTGGTGACCCTCGTGAATGCCCACTGGAAGTTGGAGAGGTAGACCATCTGAGAACGTGAATCCAACACCTCCATATGGAAATAGACAATAAAAATCTGGGAAAATAAATATTCCCTTTTTTCTTTTATTTGTTTATTTTTTTGTGAGGAAGATCAGCCCTGAGCTAACATCCATGCCAATCCTCCTCTTTTTGCTGAGGAAGACTGGCTCTGAGCTAACATCTATTGCCAATCCTCCTCCTTATTTTTCCCCTTTTTCTCCCAAAAGCCCCAGTAGATAGTTGTATGTCATAGTTGCACATCCTTCTAGTTGCTGTATGTGGGACGCCACCTCAGCATGGCCGGACAAGCGGTGCCTCGGTGCACGCCCGGGATCCGAACCTGGGCTGCCAGTAGCAGAGCATGCGCACTTAACCGCTAAGCCACCGGGCCTGGCCCCCTAAATATTCCCTTTCTTAAACCTTGAAATCCTTTTTTGTTTCTAATTATTATTGTGTGTGAAGGTACACATACTTACATAGCCGCAAGTATATTGGCAGTGATGTTGCCTGTATACATCTGTTCATTGTGCAGGTCCAGTCTCTTTCACTCATATTATTATTATTATTTGTGTGTGTGTGTGTGTATGTGTGTGAGGAAGATCAGCCCTGAGCTAACATACGTGCTAATCCTCCTCTTTTTTCTTTTTGCTGAGGAAGACTGGCTCTGAGCTAACATCTATTGCCAATCCTCCTCCATTTTCCCCCCCCCAAAGCCCCAGTGGATAGTTGTATGTCATAGTTGCACATCCTTCTAGTTGCTGCATGTGGGACGCGGCCTCAGCATGGCCAGAGAAGCAGTGCGTCGGTGCGCGCCCGGGATCCGACCCCCGGCCCCCAGTAGCAGAGCGCGCGCACTTAGCCGCCAAGCCATGGGGCAGGCCCTCACATTATTATTTTTAATAGTCCTGAATAGTCTACACTATTGCCACTTGGAATCCAGTCCCCGTCCTTCCCATGCAGTGAAATGGTGCTCTGTGAGGTCCCCAAGTGCTGGGTGAGGGCAGGAGCTCAGGGTTTGCATCTCCTTCCCCACTGGCCTGGAGCACTGTGTGAGCACTGAGACTGCTGTCCCACGCTGAGCAGTAATAATCAGCCTCGTCCTCAGGCTGGAGCCCAGAGATGCTCAGGGAGGCCGCCGCTGCCTGGCCTTGAGCCAGAGAATCTCTCAGAGACCCCGGAGGCCTGTTGTTATTCTTAGGGGTCCAGAGTTTGGGGACATGGCCCAGGCGAAGCTGCAGCCACAGTGCTCCCTTCATTGCCAACATTATTGCTGTTTCCAGTGCAGGTGAGTGTGGCCGTCTGTCCCAGGGACTTGGTCACCGAGGGTGGCTGAGTCAGCCCTGCCTGGGCCACAGACACTGTAGGGGACAGAGAGGAGTGTAAGGGCAGGATCCCAGCTCACTGTGAAGGGAGTGGGGGCATGGAGCAGATCAGGGTGTGGATGTCCACCCCCCAGGTAAAGTCGCACTCACCTGTGTAGGGAGTGAGGAGGGTGAGGAGGAGAGGAGCCCAGGTCACAGTGGAGACTCAGGCTCTGATCCCTAAAGCTCTGTTGTGGAGAGGGAGCTGCCCGAAGTCTCTTTATATCTCCTGAAACTCTCATGGGGGCGGAGTGGCCACATTCAGATCAGCCCTCGCTGTCTGTCTGCTCCTGGCCTCCCTGTCCTGGTTCTCATGGGTGGAAGGAGGAAGAGGAGGAGGAGAGGAGCTGACCCAGGAGGCAGAGGCCCTGGCTCTTGATGACCCTGGGTCCTGGGAGGAGCAGTCTCAGGATTGTCCCACAGTATCCCACATGCTCTCATACCCCAACCCCACCTGGCCTGTCTGACACACCTGAGCCCTCCAGTTAGAGGAGCACTATTGTCTTGACGCTCTTTATAAAGCTGCTTCTGATGTCAGAGAGGGACCCAGAGCAGCTGGGATTCTAGACAAAGCAGGTGTCAGGCTGAAGGATGTCCCTGTCACTACAAAGCAGCCCCAGCAGCTTGTCTTTCAGCTGCATCCTCAGAGCACACACAGAATTTTATGATGGTCTACGACAAGTCCAAAAATGGAGAATACTTTCTCTTTCAGTTTTTCATGAGACCTAGAGCCCCAAATTTAATGCACTTATTTTCCTGACACTGTCATCACCAGGAGCTGGAGACCCGTGTGAGATCTGAGGCTGCTGTGTTGGCTCAAGTGCAGCCTCTAAGTCCTTCTTGTTTCTGACCTGACTGGAATCAGCCTCCCTCTGTCCCCACCATTGTCTTACTGGAGACACCGGGTGCCCTGGACAAGGAGCTCCTGCCTGTGAGGACGAGACCAGGCAGAGAGTGTGTCATTAGGAATGGCTCAGTCTACAGCCTGGATGGATCAGAGGAGGGGACATTCTCAGAACGACAGACCCATGCAGGGGCCCCCAACTCTCAGATGCTGGTGACAGAGGTGACAGTGATCACAGGGGAGTGAGGGTGTCGTCAGGGGCCCCAGGGAGTGGTTTATGTCTCACTTCCTCCTGGGCAGACAGCATTGTGTATGCATTGAGGTCTCTCTTATATGTGTGACAGTAAGAATCACCTTGTCCTCAGGCTGGAGCCCACAGATGGTCACAGAGGCCACACTGCCTGACTTGGAGACAGAGAATCATCTGGAAACTTTCAGGGCCTGGTATTCTAAGAGTCAGAGTTTGGGGCAGCACCACAGCACCACTAAGAGCTGGAACCACACACATTACAGGATCCAATGTTGCTGCTGCTCCCAGAGCAGGAGATGGTGACCTCCTGGTCCAGAGTCCTGACACCGAGGATGGCTGGGTCAGCAAAGACCATGCCCAAAATCCTGAAATGAGGGACACAGAGCCACAGAGATGGAGAGTAAGGGCCCTGCCCACAACCCACGCTGGGCATCAAGGAGAAAGAAAGATCCGTGTATCCTCCTAGGGACCCTAACCTGACCCCAGAATCCAGTGTGCTGAGTGAGGAGAGGGGTCCAGACCATGGTGGAGACACCTCCTGAGCTCTCTCTCTATCCCCCAGCTGAGACAGAGATGCCCAAATATCTCTCATCTCTTCCCTCACTCTGATGGGAGCAGGGGCCCTTCATTCAAATTATTCCCTACCCATGCTCCCTGTGATCCCAGCTTGTCTGTGAACCAAGATTCAATCCCCTTTGCTTTGGAAATTATTTTTGGATGACATGGAGCTGGTAACTCCTGATGTGGGCTCATCTGTGAGCTTAGGAGGAAGGATATGCTGGCACCCAGGGACCATTGAGCAGAGGGCACCAGCTAAGCAGCCAGGTGCTGGAGTAACCGCTGTGGTCTCACTGCTTGTGGTTCAGACAAGCCCACAGTGCCCCATGCTGACCCTGGTGCACTTTGCCCCATGTCTGAATTCAGTGTCAATATCCTGCCTCAGCAAGAGGAAGGCCTTACCTGACCATTGCCTTTTCCACTGCCCCTCCTCACAAAGGGGAGGGACCCTCAGCCAGGGTCCCCTCCTCACAAAGGGTAGGGACCCTCACCCAGGGCCCCTCACTAGGCTGCAACATCCTCACCACACTGACCCTCAGTTCCAGAGAGTGACCTCCTCAGATGCAGGACTCACTGATGCTCCTTCAGTTGTTAACATAGTGGATGGTGGAGCCCTGAGAACTGGCCCCTGAGGGAGAATGTGTCCTGCTTTCTCACAGCAGAAGGACAAAGGCCCAGAGACCAGCCACATATCACTGTTCGGGAAGGTAGAGGAGCTCTGCCTCTCTCTGACCCCACTCTCCACTGAGGCAGGTTCAGGCCCCTGGACCCGCCCCCTTTATTCCTCTCACATCCACCTCTGGTGGGGATGGGGGTCCATCAACTAGGAACAAGTGAGGAAGGTATTGAGAAGAGGCCATGTTTTATCATCAGAAAGACAGAAGTCTGCTGCTCTGGGTCCCACCTCTCACCACAGCTGTCCCAGGATGATGCTGGGGCTGGAGACCTAAGAACCAAAGGGTTGGGTTTCCTTGAAGAGGGCAGGGTCCTGAGGATGGAGCTGAGACCCTGGTGGGAGGGAGAGACTGAGGAGGGGGTAAGGATTGAGACTCCCAGGAGACACCAAAAGTAGGCTTTGAGTGACTGAGCTGTGGCTGAGTGACAAGTGAAGGGAGGTTTCACAGCATCCTCTGGCCCACGGGGGACCCTCACATCAGAAGATGACAATGGACCACACATTAGAGTGGATGGAGCTGTGGCGATGGGCTGTTTCAAGGAGGAGTCACGGTAGGGGTCCAGGGATCTGCACAGCTGCCTCTGTTCATCCCCACCATGCACCTTCTCAAGGAAAATATTCAGAATGTATATGTTTTCTATTTTTTTTCCTTTTCTTCTTTCTTTTTCTCTCTTTCTCTCTCTCTCACACACACACACACACACAAATATATGTAGAAAGGTGGGGTCAATCAGCTATGACGGGCATTTGTACTGTAGTATTTCATATCATGAATGATACCAGCTTTGTTTTAAATTTGGCAACTCTCTCGTTTTTGTCCTAAAATTTTCAGTTGTTCCACATATTTTGTGTATAGTCAGTCATCTTCCTATGGCTAGTTTTCATCAACAGAGCATAAGAATGTGTGACTGAATGTCAAATTATTAACTAGAATGTACATTTAATCTTACTTTTTGGGGGTTATCTATAATACTCCATCTACAAAATAATTGTGTATTATTTTTTACCCAACATACTCACCACAACAGAAATGCACTAGTGAAAATATTGTGATATTTCTTTATTACTTTCTCAGTGATAATCAGCCTTTCACCCTCACAATGAAGAGAAATTGCTCAGTGAATTCATAGAGATAGGAAGTTCATTAAGTACATAGTCTTGGATGCACAGCGAGAAAAAGTAGGTAATATATAGAGATGATGAGAGAAGAATTTACATAATTTGATAATTATTAGATAAATATGGCTTTTAAAACTGAATTTCTAATGATTTTATTTACCAAATGTTTTGAAGTATAATTGATAAATAAATATTATATATATTTAAGGTGTAGAACATGATATATATATATATATATATATATATACACACACACACACACACACACACACTGTGAAATGATTACCACAAGCAAGTTAATTAACACATCCATCACCTTACATAGAAATTTATTTTTGGATGGGAATACTTAAGATCAAATCTATTAAGAAGTTTAAAGTAGTCAAGAAAGTATTATTAACTATAGTCACCATGATGTACATTAGATCCTCAGAAATCATTCATCTTACAACTGAAATGTATACCATTTGCTGCTTTTCATTTACCTGGAACAAATTTTAAATTATTTTTCCTAGAAATGTCAGAGGACTCAGAAATGGTAGAAATGAGTGGATTGGTATTTCAAATAAAAAATGTACCTGTATTTATTCTCATCATGTCAACTTTTAGGTTCCTCACTCTGAAATTTTATAGTTGTGGTGCAGGTCATTTTCCTACATATAACTTGTTTCCAGACACAGAGAACAATAATTATGACGCTGGTATTCCATTTTTTAAACAAACTATTTACTCTTCAGTGACACACTACTAGACGTAAAAACATACACAGGTAGCAGCAGGCAGACTCCATGGTGTGCGGCTTGTGTTCACTTTGAAAATCCTGTGATGACCCTTTGCAGCGGTTCTGTGGTGATGGACACCTTGCCCTCCACTCTGTCACTCTGTCAGTGGGGAGGTCAGATTTGATAGCAGGTGAAAAGTTCTCAGCTTCATACCTCGAGTCCCCCAGGCAGGAAACCTGCACTCCTACTCTAGAAGTTTGTTCATATGAATTTTATGAATGCTGTCACAACAAATTGGCTAAGTAACACTTCTCAAAACATTTGACATTATGTTTCATGTCCCTTTCTCCAAGACATTATGCAGAGTTATAAATGCGTCCTGTAATTTTCTTTTATTCCTCAATTTATATTTCGGAAACTTCATTCAAGTTGGTTGCATTAAAGTGTTTCTCCGTTTAGAAAAATGCACAGTTTCCTAATTCCAATTTTGTACTCTCTCTTCCAGAAAATATAAACAGTGAGAACACATCCAGACTGCTTGCCTCACATCAGGAGAATCTTGAACCATCCCAGCAATAGACATTACAGGAAAGGAGAATCACATAATAATGTCTGCTGAATGTAGAAATTGAAATCTAAAACCAAACTCTAGCAGTATAGAAACAGAGATACTTGAAAAAGAGACTGGGATTTCATGATGGAATCTCCATGGGTCAAGGTGGAGAGGACCCCTGACTGTTTGAGTGTTGACTGGAAGAGGGGTGAGAAGGGCTGGTGCCATTGGGTCATTGGAATGAATACTTGGCAACAGAGGGAAGGAGAGTCTGAGTGAACCTCAGGGACAGCACTGGGGCGGGGGTCACAGGCGGTGGTCATGGAGGATTCTCTCTAAGTAGTTATGAGACACTATCTTCTGACCCTGCAGGGTCTAGAGATGGATGAGGAGTTTGTAGATTAGAAACTGAACTTTGGTGGGTAGGGACTGAGCAGGGAAGGTGGACGCTCAGTGTTAGTACATCTTCTTCCATTTCTCAGTCGGGCCTGAGTCCAGGATGCACAGACAATTGCTCAAACCTATAATCAGCAAGACACTGAGAGATGCAGACTTAATTCACTTAACTACCAAAGGATCCACTCAGGTGGCCACTCTTCTGGTTGTTTCACATCAACTGCTTAGCCAGAGTAGGTCAGGTGAAGGTGAAGCTTATTCCTTGCAGAGCCACCATGTGGCACTTGTTCTGAGATGTCCTGGAGTTTGAGTCACTTTAGGAAACAAGCAAAAAACTAGTCACTCACTGTGGTCACCTGATCATCAGAAACACTCACCAGGAGGCAGCTGAAAGTGTGAAGATAGTGGGGGAGGATGGTCACGTTTGACTTCCCAAGTCCCTCATATCGGCTTCCATTGGAGGACACTGTGTCATATTTTGGGTCAGGGATTGAAAGGTAGAGGGCAAAGAATGGGTTATTATCTGGGTCTTTCTCTTATCTCAGCATCTCCTCCAGGGTATCAATTTGTCCTCCCCTAAACCTTGAGTTAGGAGGACTTGAAAACGCAATTGATAGGAGCTCTTGATTTAGAGTTCCAGGACATGATCTAGAGGTCTCAGTTGTTCAGAGGGCTCCGTCCCCAGGGAAACA